GACTGGCATTTCGGGCTCCCCTCAACTCACTCCCAGTCTTCAGGGTCACACCTGGTCGCACTCCCAGTGACGTCATTCGGAGTGCCGTGTAGCTTCCCGCGTGCTATCTCGGAGGACGCTTCCCCTCCCTCTCTCTGCGTACATTAGCGGGCGTTATGCTGCAGCTTAGAGCCGAGCGAGGTCACGTAATCTTTTCGCCGTAGTTCCTTCGGCTGCCACTTGGGGCTGCAGGTGGGGGAAAAAGCTCGGCTTTTGCTTTGCGATTATGCAGCGGAATCGCGACCTTTTTAAAGACGGAGATGTTTTCTCTATCCTCTGGGACACGATAAACAACGTAAAAATGACGAGATGCAAATTCTTTTAATCATAAAATCGTTGCACCGCCCCTTTAAGGGAGGAAGTGGGTTCTCAAAACTTTTTTTTTGTTTATTGGCGTATCTCAGCGATTTTTGGCACAGGCATGCAGTTTATTGTGCTGATTTCATAACTGCTATCAAATTTCAGATATCTCTTTTTTGTGAAAAGTTATTAACAAAATAAAATATTAATTAGCTAATTTCAGGAAACGTTTTTAATGACCTTCTTATTAAAATTTTAATGAAAAAAAGGTATCAATTGCTTCCTAAAGAAATGTCATACAAGCTAAAGCTATTTTTATTTCTATAGCACCATACAATCATGTAAAAAAATTAAAGTGAACAGAAGACATACAATAGAGGCTATAACAATGGCTAATAATGAACCGCCAGTTCTATGTACCAAAAAATATCATAATAAAAATAGCTTTAGCTTGCAGTCCAATTCATTCCAAAAAAAATAGTACCAAGTTTATGAAAATCGGTTGAGCGCAAGTGAATCAAAAAGCCTTCCTGGCCAGAGAATATGCTGAAAAAAACAAAGCTGAGAAAAAAGCCTTTGAAGTTTGGGTATGCAAAAGTAACAACATTGAAGCTTTAGATGGGTGGAATGCCCTTGGTTTGAATTTCATACTAAGGGAGAGACACGGGTAGGGAAAAACAGCCCGATATGCAACAATTGGTTAGCCCTGAGAAGGGCTTTTTTAGGGGGCGTCTTCAAAACACCAGCTTGTGAATGGGCGATGGGCGTGCCTGACTCTCAGAGAAGCCCAGGACTATAATCCTGGTCTGTGCCTGCCCTGTGCCTTGTGGAGAGTCTCTTCTTCATGCTGTCAGCATCAGAGAACTCTTTGTTAGCCTTGTGCAGCCTCCGACTGTCCTTCTCGGTGCTCCTCCTGACGAGGGCAGTGCCAGCCGTGTAGCCCAGGCTGCTAACTACGCTCTCGTTTGTCTTCCTCACTCCCTGGTTGAAGACACTCACAGCTTCAGCAACAGCCCTCTGTACACTGTACAGTGATGCATGGGTGTTCTTCGAGACCTGTGCCCAGATGACGGAGTGCAGGCTTTCACTCGGGTTCTGCGTCTTGCCATCACTGCACCGCTGGAGCAAGTCCTTGTTGCTAAGCCTGGCAAACACTGGTTCCAGTGCTTCTTGAACAAAGCCTGGGAGGGCGTTCTTGTGGCCACGGGGTTGCTCGTTGTTGGCAACTGCTCTGTTGTAAAAACACCATGAGCTGGCTCCCTCGGGGCAGAGGTCGTGGTCGGGAGACTCGTCGGTGGACGACATGTGGCGAAGGGTGGCTTGCACAGCTTTCTGCATCGCAGGTACGTCGTGGCTGTGGCTCCGAAGGGCATAACCATAGTAGTTGGTTATCTTTTTTATCCTGTCTTGTGTCAGCCTGCCCTTTCCTCCGAGCACCTCGCCTTGAGCCTTCTTTTTGTCAACAAGCGTCTGCAAGGCTGGTCCCATCCTCTTGTGGACATGGTTGAGGCAGTCCTTCTTTTCAATATCCACGAACCCGTAGACAGCTTCATCTGTAAGAGCATGATGCGTCCTACTGTCTCCGTCAGAGAGGACCGTTGTGTAGCGCAGACCATGCTTCTCAAAGGACCTTCTGAACATGATGAGTGCTGCCTCCACCTCCATTCGCCCCGACTTGCAGTCTATGTTCTTTTTGCAGTCTGGCTTGTGCTCGGCCAACCACGCACTGTAGCTTTCCTCTTCGGGCTTTGGGCCAAGTGAACATCCCAAGCAGAGGTTGCAGAGGACGATGTGGTCGATCACCAGGCCGGTGTATAGCTCCACGATGCAGCCCACACCAATGTGAGACGTGCGTCCCCGCGTCTTCCAGGTGCCATCATACATGACGTCAATGTTGTTCGGAAGGTTCAGAAAGTCTGCATAGAGGGTCCTCACAGCTTCAACACTTCCTGCTTCACAAGCTGCTGCTGACAGCTCACAGGCTTGCATCACTGTCGGCAAGTGGTGCTGAAACGTCTTATGGTGAAGGCCTCTGTGAGAAACGTTCAAGGCCGCGCAGAAGTCGGAGGGCGCAGTGGACCCTTTTCCAATGGACTGAATCCCTTTCACAGCTCTCATGTTGAGCTCAAAAGGCGTAATCCGTGCCTCCCCTCGAGTTCTGGGCGACGAAAAATGCTTCTCGCAGAAGCCGCACGACGGGCACGTCAGCACCAACTTCACAGCCAGCCCGTACTCTTTCTCCTTGGCTTTCTCGAGCGTAGGCGCGGCCAATCCGCACTGCCCACATTTTGTGCTCGCGAAGAACATGTTCAGCACGTTCAAATCGACGATCACGAACTGCGTGCCGGAATCTGTCTCTTCATCCTCGACAGAGACATTGAGGAGGTCGAACTTCCGTTGCGTGGCAGACTTCGCGGCCAAATCCTTCTTCAACTCGTCAGCCCGCGCCGCACGTTGGGCAGTTTCGCTTGCCGTGTAGAAATGCGAGTCGAGTCGTGACGGACCAGGACCGAAGCCGTCATCTCCTTCATTGCTCACATCAGGGGCGGGCATCTCGGAAGACGACGTAGCTGCTGGCAGCTGAACTTGCCGCATGTCCGTCTCAAGCAACGCGGCTGGCGATGCGAGCGAAGTCGTCTTGTTGCACGCCCGACGCTTCCGCTTGCCGTAAGCATGCTGCGTTGAACGCTTCACGCTAGGCATCGCGATCGCTACCGATGTCTCCTAAAGACGTCGTGCTAAACGAAGCAGGCGGACGCCGAAAAATAACGTGCTTGAAGCCAAAACGCAACCGCTAGCAGACGACAAACAATGATCTCAACTGTGTTGCTGGACCTCTCGGCTCCTTCCGCGCCGCGAGGAAGGAGAGGAGGGAGAGGAGGATGACATATTTCAGGAGAGGAGGCATGCGTTTCGGCCAATAGCGACAGCGCTCGCTGCGGCCCGTGCTCCTTAGCCAATCGCTAACTCGGTTTCTTTCTCCAGGGAAACGCGGTATTCTGTGCTTTCCCCGGGTGGACGCCATTTTTAATGGCGCCAAAAATGTAGACAAAGAAGCAAGCTTTTGAACGAGACCAAAATTGCCGCAAACGGGCGCGCACCGGCGGAGCGCGGAGGGCGCGCATTTCGACGTCGGTTTCCTCTTTCGGGAAGATTTTGGGCGCGTTCCGCGCGACGTAATTATCGTTTTTTTTATACTTTAAGTTTGAATTACGCTATAATATTTCGGACAGAGGTGCTTGGATATGTAAGGCACCCAAATACGGGATTTTTGAAAAAAGAACTTTTTTGCGATTTTTTGCATTTTTAGGACCCGCGTCCCCCCTTAAGTATGCAAAAGCGGTAACTTTATGGGTGCTCCCAGCCATTACTACTGGATTGGCTTGGCTGCATGGCCGAACACGTTCACAAGCCTAATGTCTCGCGGTTGCGCCGTCCGATGCACCTAGTCTGCCATCCAACACCGGCTGCTTGTTATGCGGGCAGACGTGAGGTGGAGTATGGCGTCATCTGCTACAGGACAAACTCTACTGCCACCTGCAACACCTGTCAGACACAACCATGATAGAGGCACATCAGCATCCATTATTGCCCACGTCTGTCTACTATGACCGCAAAAAGCAACCATGAAAGTGGCCCTCTAGCATTCCATCTTGCAGTAGCCACAGTCAAAACCAAAGACAAGAGGCAAGACCAAGCGGAACAACAATTTGATTTGGATTGAAGGTGCAGCCATATTTTATGTTCCAGTTCTGTTACCACCCAGTATGTCTTGTACCTGCTATAGCCGTCATGATTGTGTTCCTTTGGTGCATGTGGCTTATGCTGATACTAGAAGCAAAGCAATCGGTCAAGCTGAAAATTGTGTCCAAGCAGTAAAAAAGATTGACGTTAAGTGCATCTTTTCTGTGTATACCAAAATACCGAAGAAGAGCTCGACAAAACACTAAAAATAATCATGACGACACAAGCCGCAGGTGGCCAATAAGCCGCACGGGCACGCAATACGTCACTGCAACCATCGCTCAATCGTCTGCAGCAGCACAATGGATGACAATGCTAGGTTACGGATGCATTGCGACCATCTCATGGCAGTGCAGCAAGTGGCAGACGAACCACCAGCCAACAGAAGCGGGGGTTGCACGCGCCTTCAACTCAGTATAGGTCGGTCGTAGCCGATCCAGTTGCTTTTAGCATTGGTCGCAACAGACCCGCAATGTACAACTACATCTCAGTAAGCCAGGGTTCCTGGGGTTGCAGTCGCAGCTGAAGTATTTGGCACAAACAGGCCTTGGAAGTTACTGCCACAAAAGAACAAGCGGGAGTCAGGGACAAAGGAAGTAAAGTAATTGTGTTGCATGTACATTTACACCGTGGGAAGTTAGTCAGCCCTGATGGGCGCACGGTGCCCCCACTGTACGAGAGAAATTCAAACAATGTAGTATCACTGCGAGCCTGGGGTCTTTAAAGTGCATCATGCAGCAGTGACTACACGACCACACGCCAGTACAATGATCATCCAGATCGAAACAGGCAGGGGTGGGTATTCAACCCAGGGCCCCCAAGTTCTGCAGTGCGAACTTTCACTCCACATGCTCCAAGCTGCCGTGCATTAACGCACACGGTCACCTATCCCCCACCCCCAATAAAGGGAGGCATACCTTCTGGACGAACTGGAAGCCAAACTTCTTCATTGCCTTGGGGAAGCCGTCAATGTTCCTGAACCTGCTTTTCACCTCTGCAATTTTCAGCAGGCCCCTGAGAACAAAATGTAAAAGAGTGTACATTTTAGGGCAAGTTGTTGAGCGTTTCAATGCCGCTGTTGCATGTTTCGTATTTGTGACATCTTTGAGGTGATAGGTGCCTATCGACGCAACCTATCCAACGATGAGAACAGCACTCTCAAAGGGACTATGAAACAGAAATCGGGGGTTGATGTCCATAAGAACACAGCCTCCCACACGCAGTTATTTTGTTGGGGCGACACTGGGTACTCCCACGCCATGCATCATCTTCTGAAGCAGTGCTATTGGCTGCAGAGTTTTGTTTTCCTCCTGTTTTGCGATTTCTAAGGCTTATGGCCCCTCTGTGCCTACACTGCAGAGTGGCAGTCTAGAAAACACTAGTTTTGTTTGGGGTCATTTGGCCATGTCTGTTTTGTAGCCCCTCTTCTATGGGATGCAAACACAGAGGAGTTCAGATGCTTGGAATTTCGAGCATGCAAAGAGAGCCAAAGTTCTTGAGGGGGTCGTGACTGATCTCAGAGTTCCGAAGAAAGTGTAGCTCACCCTTTCTTGAGGATCCGGTTTGCTTCCAGGATGAAGGCATTCAGGTTTGTTCCCATCAGAGAGAGACAGAAGACGGCCACATCAACAGTCTGCCTGTACAGCGGGAGCTGCAGAATGCAAATTTGTGCACACAAAAATTAATACAATTACAAATGGTTTATGACACAGGCACCACTTACAAATGGCACCACTTGCAAGGGGTACTACTTGCAAGCGCTACCGCTTACAAGTGGGTTACGGAACCGGCCCCATTTGCTAGTGGTACCACTCGTAAGTGGTTCCACTTGCAAGTGGGGCCGGTTTTATAATTTCCTTGCAAGTGGGATAACTGAACATTTGCCAGTGCGCTCCAGACCACATGTGCTAAAACCGCTGCTGGAAAAAAATTAAAAAAAGGTGATTGAAAAAAAAAACTACTACACAGAACCGGGAGGTACTCACTTGATCGAATGACGTTTTAGCAAACGCCCACGTTTCATCGAACGACACTTTAGCGAATAGTCGGACGCCGCGAAGCGGCGTTTTCGGGTGGGCCAAGTGAGTTCATATTTTTGTATTGAGTTGCCGTAGACTGTCGCCGCGAAGCGGCGTAAAGCGCAGCGTGACGGATGGGTTAACGCGCGCCCCCGTTATTCCCTAAAACGACCATTCGCTCAAATGTCGCCGTTCACTAAAATGTCATTCGCTCTTGTGATATGGACCCCACAGAACCATATGCCCATAACCTCAATAACTGAATGACTGCAGATGCACACTTTTGGGGTTTAGGCATAGCGTGTGCTGCAAGGTTGCCAGGTCCCTGGAGAAAACCTGGCAACCCCGGCACTGCTGCCCCACTACATGGCCTGGACTGGATTTGTTGGCTGTTCCCTTTGCATCGAGTGGATAAGTCTGTGCTCCACTCTAGGCAGAACTGATTCCTTATTTTTCTGCCACCAAGTCCTCAAGTCTTTTCTCAGGGCACTCAATGAGGTTTTCGGCTCGTTTTCCCAGACTGGGTTCGCTTTTTGACAATATCCCTGACAATTCCCGGTTTTCCCGTTTGCTAAACCCCCTGAGAATATGACGACCATAATTTAAAACCAAATATTTAAAAAAAACTGCATCGTCCCAAACAGATCAGCACATAGACAGCAGGACACTGCAAGCAGTCATGAAACCAAGCAGAACATCAGAATTAAACAAAGTTCATTGTTGATGCCTAAATGAATTTGCATATCTTAAGAAATAATCTTCAAATGCTCCTTGAAGCTTCAACCAGGTCACTGAAAAGAGAAAATCACAACACAAACACAAAGCTCACTGAACAGTACATACAAAGCGTACTAGAAGGAACCAGTTAGCCACCTATTAAGGATGTGGTCACTCAGGCCACATTGCTTTGAAGCAGCACTTCTGTTAGCTGTAACCAAATGTTTCCAATGCACTTATTGGAAGACGGCGAGAGGGAGCTACAGATGTCAGATTCCCGTGAAGTACATTCGCAACAAATTGGTGGCTAACGATCAGCGATGCAGTGTTAGACACCAGAGTAAAAACGAGCCGATACACTGGGCGATATCCCAGGTGACGTGGTCCAGGGTGACTTTCGTCTGCACCCTAGGAAGTGAAAAAGCAAAGCTCACCCTGCTCATATCGCAGACTGTGACTTGATCATTGAGTGCCTTCAGGTCGAACGAGTGAACCTTCTTTTTGGTCAGTGTGCGTGCAATCTTGGCCTCTCCACAGCCCAGATCAGCAATCACAGTCGTGTTGGGCCTAGAACCAAGACGGGGAATGTTTGGCGAAACCAAGAGGACTGCATCATTAGCAAGAAGGTTGATTCCTGAACGCAATTATATGAGATCAACAACAGAGTAGAGAGACTTCTATTGCTTTGATGGCATCCGAGTTGTACCTTGCGCAGACAAAGGAATGCAGTCTGGCTAGGTAAGTGAGTAAGAAAGCAGGATGCAAAGCATGTTACTGCAAGTCATTGATAGGTTGGAGCAGTGGGAAGAACACATTAGGTCTCCCATTCCAATAAAGAGCTTTCCGTTCATGATGGTGCTCAAAAATCATGCGAGATTCGGTCGTGCATGCATCGCCAAAGCCTTAATGAAGGCAGAAAAGTCGCAGTAGAGATTCGACGCCCCATAGAAACATCCTATTGCTTCTAATGGGTCAGTAACCATGGTGCCTTCAAGCACGCTATTCTTTAACGCATCGTTGTGCACAGTCAGCTCTGGGCTGAAAACAATTGACCTTTTCATCCAACCTACAAATATTAGCAAAACGAGTCCTTGACATTTTATGGCAAAAAATGTGGCCCTTAATGGCACAGCCATGGACAAAAAAACTAGACTGCCTTAACATGTTTGCCTCTCATAGTGCTATTTTGCAGCAACAGGAGAATCATTTGTAGATTTAGGGAATGGCATGGCCCTCTCAGCACTTGCATGCAGACAAATAGCTCCCCACCCTCAGTTGTGCCAATGTAAGTGAAGAAGCATGTTTGTGTGTTTAAGCACAGCCTCCTTTACACTAGAAATCCTGTCAATCCCACGACGGAGCCACTGAGCGTGCAGCCACCGCAAAATGGTGAGGAGCAGTGCTGAATGGTTACACATATGGTAACGCTGAGTCACTTCTGGGGTAACCCCTCAGCCAGCACAAACAATATGTGCGGTGCGAAACAACAAACTGCGACGGAGTTAAAAGAAAAGAGGCTCTGGGGACGTGGAGATACGGGAGAAGGGCAGAATAGAGGAAGGCTGTTGCAAAATGTTCTCCTTTCCTAAAAAGCACACAAAACAGAAAGGAGTGCATTTGTGTTTCCGTATTTCACCGCTGGGGCATTGCCAGAGAAAGCCCCTACCCATGCCCTCTTCTCGATCTTCTTTCACTTTTACAGTGTCCATGTTCCTTCGCGATTTGACAGGCTTTCTAGAATAAAAAAGGCTATGGTTTAAGGTTAGTTTTTTTTTTTTTTTTTGTACATGACTGTATTCTAATACAAAAAGTGCAACTCAGCTCAGTAGAAGCTTCCATGTTCACAAGCCAGCTCGTATGTCGCCGACTACGCACGTGTAAGAGTGAAAATGCCAACTCACATGCTCCGCAGAGAATCGATGATGACGTCCACGGGATTGACGGGCCACTTGGAGACCTGTCTTTCGAAACCCTCGTGATAGACCTGGAAAGCTTTCGGATCCTCCTCAAACGAACGAACGGCGTCGGCACTCTGCGACGTGTAGAGTTCTTCGTTGAGCAGACGAAACCGAGCGGCCCGCAGTCGTTCGAGGGCTCTCTCTCTGACGTCTTGCGAAGACGCTGGACCCGACGACAAACTCCACTTGCTCTTTGCCTTCTTGGAGCCCTGCAGCGGGGCCACGTTTGGTTCGCTGTCGTCGTCTCCCTCGGCGACGTCCGCTTCAGCCGTTGCTTCATCGTCGGAAAGTTCCTGTCGGTGGCTTTTGGCAGTGCCGTAGTCACCTTTTGCCCGCTTGTCGCACGCAAGAGGTTTGGAACCGTCTAACTCGCTTGTTGGTGCGTGTGCAGTAAGCTTCCTATGCCGCTTCCTCTTCTTGCATTTTGTCAACGTAGGTTGTTCCTTCAAGCACTCTTCCTTAGTAATTTGGGGGTCAAGGTTTGTTGGGACGCCACTCCTGGCAGACTTGCCTTGCTTGTCGAAACGGGTGGGTTGGGGCGCCTTGCTGGCGGTCATCTGATTCTTTGCAGAGCTCACCTTGCGACTAATTCCTGGCTCGTTAGAAGAGTAACCGGCTTCCAACTTGTCAAGTGAAGCCTTGGAGGTACTTGCTTTCGTCCTAGTACCCAAATCGGCGCTGTTTGTGGCCGACTTTCTCTTCTTTTTACGGCGTTTTTTTTTCCTCTCGTCCTCCCCCTCTTTCGATGGGCTGTCCTGTGGTGCTGGCGCCAGGTGCTTAGTCTTGGCCTCGGGACGCAACGGCCGCGGCCGCTGGAAGTTTTCGTCGGGATCCAGACCGCTTAAAATCGAAGTCACCCCGCTCCTAAGTTCGTCTAACAACCGAGCTTCGCTGGCACTTTCATCTTCCGCCTCGGCTCGACTTTTTAACTTCGGCTTTTGGAGCTTGGAGCGGCGTTCTCTTGTGGGTTTAACCGATGTCTCAGTATCACGGTCGGTGTTAAGATACTTCTGTCGCTTGGCTTTAACCGCCACCTCATAGTCTCCCTTTTTTCGTTTAGGCGACGGGAACAGTTGTTCGACAGGACCAACAGATTTCTTGGAGATCGGCGAATGACTGAACGGAACGGAGTCTGCTTCAAAAGGAACGAACGCCGTTTGCTTCGTTGAAGATAGCGAAGTCTGCTTCAAATGTGAACGCTTCTTGGCGCCGATTTTACAAGCTAAAACTTCCGAAGTGCTGGTAACCCGTACATGCTTCGGATGTTTAGGATGGATTAACTTGGGTTTCATTTTAGATTCGCCTAACACAGGAACCAGAAACGTTGAGACACGTACCAGACGTCGAGTATCGGGCTGTGCGAGGTCGGCGAGTCTTGAACAAGAGCTCCGGCGTTTAAGAACTTCACGTAAACATATTGTTAAAGCGGCGGTAGCTCATATCAGAGATAAAACTTGGGGAATCGAATAGGACATCGCAGTTATTGCGAATCGCAACAAACACACGTACAGTAAGCGTAGGGAATCCGTTCGCGTGGTGGTGATGATGATGATAATCATGTCAAATAACACCTAAGACCACACTGTGCCTGAGACTGTCGTGGAAGAAATTGGAAACTTTTTAGTAGAAGAGGAGCAGACACAGAAAGGGACGTCTCAAAGTCAGCTAAGTGGTTTATTTCTCGACGATCCTATATCATGATAGTTTCAGTAGCCACCCTAGTTTCACGTATGACTCGCCCATTGGGCCCACTGGCGCCACGGGCGCCACCCTGGCCCCTGGCGCCCTGGCCTCGCTGTTTTCAACGGTACTCAATTTGAAATTTGAAATGTTTTAGGTTTTAGTTGCCCCGTTGCTTTTGTGTATGCTAGCCTGCTAGCTGTACTAGCGATATTACGCCCTATAACTTCGTACAACCGCCGTCCTTATTTTTTCTTGTGCTCGCATAACCGCGTCGCGTAGCTTAATTCAGGTGCAGTGCGCTGCCGTGAGGGTGATAACCTAAATTTGAAGACGTTAGGTCTGTTCGTATTCGTCTTTCCTCGCTATGGCCGAACTCGCGGAACCTGGAGGGACCGGTGGTGTTTCTTCTAAGACCGACCCAGATAAGTACAAGTGCACGATTTGTGACAAGTGTTTCAAGAAAATCTACAACTTAAAGAGGCACTTAAAGGAGGTCCACGGGGAATCTGACGCGAGCTGGGTCACACTTCCCTTTGACAGTTGCAGCCTTGCATGCGATCTGTGTCCAACGGCTTCTTTTGCGTTCCATGGGGGCTTGCTGCGCCACTTTGAAGCGAAACACGAGTTCGTCGCGAGGCGCGACACCGAGCCAGATGAAGAAATGCCATCAACAACACGTGAAGCAACAGGCTTTACGTTGGATGATGAGCCACAGTCTTTTTTAAATGACATCCAGCAGAGTATTGAGGTAGGGATGCAGACGACTCAACCAAATTCAGAGGACGAGATACGTTTAGCACTGAGTCGACTGAGCGAGTCCCTCTCCAAGAAGAAATTGACAAGCTCTTCAAGCTCCTTGGTGTTGAAATACCTTACCAAGATCCAAGAAATACTTGACTCTGCTCCAGATAAAACTTCTCCTCCAGATGAGACTTCTTTAAAACCTAGGGTAATCCCGCACAACGAAAAGATGGAAAAACAAGCACGGTACTTTCCCACCAAAAAGAAACGCCCTAGTTCTGGTCCCATGCACGGCAAACCTCCCACCAGATTGGAGCAGCAGCACATCATGGAGGGCCTTGTAGCCAGAGGAGTTGCTACAGGGAGAGCAGCATCCGCTCAGCTCCCTGTGGATGTTCCGAGCATGTCTGTGCTGGCCCTCAAGGACCATGACTACTTTGCTTATCAGTAGTCGTGACAATTGGGCTACAAAAAAGGGGCAGTGTTTCTCTTGCAAAAAGGGATGGTGCATTTGACAGCTTGGATTTCTTTCCACTTTGGGAAAATGTCAAGAGATGCTCGAGCTAAAGGCAAGAGGGGCATCTCTTACCATCTTCCAACAGGTTAGGTTAGGTGAGGTATTATACGCTGACCTTAATCGTAACGCTTTTTTAACAACCAGGGATTGGCAATTTTATTTCAGTTGATGCGGAATGGTTGTCTCTAAACTAAGGGGTAACCATAGCGCCTCGAAATGCTCGATTATAAGCGTCCCCCTCGCTGAAACCAGCAATTTTCTTCTTAATTTTAAATATTGCTGCACAAGAACTTGCAGCTCTTTCTGCTTTGGAGAATGTCAAGAGGTGCTCGAGCTAAAGGCAAGAGGGGCATCCCTTGCCATTCTCCAATAGTCGGCTTCTGTTATACGCTGACGTTCATCATAACAGTGTTTTATTTTCAAATTGTGTAGAAAGGTTTTCTATTTAATTTTCACCTGTTATCATAGTGCCTCAACACTGCCCATTAATTCAGTGTCCCCCTCGCTGAAACCAGCACTTTTTGTTAATTTTAAATATTGCTGCACAAGAATGTGCAGCTTTTTCCGCTTTGGAGAATGTCAAGAGGTGCTCTAGCTAAAGGCAAGAGGGGCATCCCTTGCCATTCTCCAACAGTCGGCTTCTGTTATAGGCTGACGTTAATCGTAACAGTGTTTTATTTTCAAATTATGTAGAAAGGTTTTTTTATTTAATTTACACTTGTTATCAGTGCCTCAACACTGCCCATTAATTCAGTGTCCCCCTCACTGAAACCGGTGCTCTTTTATTTTAGACATTACTGCACGAGAATGTGCAGCTCTTTCCACCTTGGAGAATGTCAAGAGGTGCTCGAGCTAAAGGCAAGAGGGGCATCCCTTGCCATTCTCCAACAGGTGGCTTACGCTATCAGCTGACCTTAATTGGAAAAGTGTTTTAACAGCCAGAGCTTGCCAATTTAATTTCAAATTGATGCACGCAGGTTATCTCTAAGTTAATGTATAACCATAATACCTCAAATTGCGTGTTACATGCTTATTTTTTTATTTTGCATATTGTTGCACAAGAATGTAAAAGTATCAGTTCTCGCGATGTACCGAATTCTTTTTTAGTATGCGATTCATATGCTTTAGGATATAATGGTTTGTTGCTAATAAGTGCCTGTAATCACTGTTTTATTGTTTTGTGAGCCAAAAGGGAATGACCACTGGCGACCACAAGCATGAGGATCTGCTACAGCAAGCATAATCATGTAAGTCATCCCTGTGTGCATGGGATAGTTCTTAACGCGTTAGATGAGATGCAATTGCCTGCATTTTAAGAAGTGATAACTGAGAGGGGAGTGAAAGTACAGGAAATCTGGTCAATTGCAGACATAACGAAAACGTGAAACACCGGAAGGAAAAAGGACATAAAAAGAGGACGACACACACACGTCTCAAACAACGCTGAAGGTTTATTCTAAACCCACACCCTTTTATACCGGTGCACCGCAGTCAACGCCAAGAACCCTCGCACCAAGTCACATCTCCAGACTGTCAGCAAGGGCAAACAAAAGAAGAAATGCCTTTGCCGCTTCCGCACGTGCCAAAGTCAACGAACTGACAAGAAAAAAAGAAATGTTTGTACTTGCTTGTCAATCACTATTAACGAGACACACAATTTCCAGCAGAACCGATACTAAGAGTTTCTTTTACTACACGTTTAAACTGATCTTGCTCGGCTTATCACCATGGTGGACAATTGTTGCAAACTTGTAGATGTTCTGCAGTTTTTGAACTTGGCGACCGCAGGAGAACACACCTTTTGTGCTCCATGATTCGCTCATTAACATAACATCCAGTTTGACCTATGTATCAAAACCCACATGCCAGAGGAATATTATAAACATCACCTTCTTGACATTCACAGGCAAGATTCTTACGCGTTTACCCGCAACCTTTCCTACCTCCCGTGAAACGAGTCAACCCACTTAATCTGAAGTCTTCAGAAGTACATTATCATGGCCGCTCTCGTCGTCGTCTGAGGCCATCTTGTCTTCAAAAGCAATGTGAGACTAACTTTGGGGGACGAATTCGAGGTCTTCAGCATCCCTGCTCTCCGAACTGCTGCAAGAAACTGCTCTTTCACATCACCGCCATCAGCATTCCTTATGCATGCCACCATTTTTAAATCACCACTGTCAGGCTAAACACATTGCAAAAGTGCAAAACACTTTTTTTTTTTTTTCTGGACTTCTACTGCCTCCTTGGGTGTAAAATAGAAACCAAAACCAATTTTTCACCGCAACTTGTCTTTGGCGCAGAGAGTGACACAGCATGAGGAAGGACGAGTGTGACTCGTCATTGGTGATATTTGTACAAACTCTAATGACGAGCACAGCTCGGACCTGGGGGTTAAACGGTTAAAGTACACCGATGTAATTTAGCACACAGGTGGAATAAAATTGAGACTTTGCCTGTCCCTTTTTTTCTATCCTAATTTTTTTCCTTTTTTGAATACAGTCGCAGGTTTCAACCACCAGCTCGCCTGCACTTTAACCATTTCTTTTCAACAACATGGGCCATTTTTAGCTATATCATTGAGCAGAGCTCACCTTAGTGAAAAATAAGAAAGAAAAAAATTACATTTTAGGCCACTGTCTATTTTGGCAAAGGGAAGTAGATAATACATAAGCCAAGTTTACTTCCATCCCATTCCCTCCGTTTTTCAGTCGTAATAAACGCCACGGTGGCCCAAAATGCTGTTGATAATATGTCGCGAAAAGGAGCAGGAATTTACCCATAAAAAGTGCTGTTTCCTTAAAGAGATACTTCAACGAAATATAAAATATTCTCGTCGTGTTCAAAAATAGGTTGAATATGATCCACAATATCCGTAAAAGACAATCGCATGTTTGTATTTTGAGCCTGGTGGCTGTATTTTTCGTTATAAACGGCCCACTCTGGCAAGTGCTGGGAGAAGGCCCAGCGGAGACCACGTGACATCCAACGCAATCGTGACGTAGGTCGTCTCAAGACGAGCAAAGCTATGGCGAGGCTGACATCGAGAGGATGGCCTAGCCGTTCCAGCCACCGAAGCAGCTGCTTTTGTATGAATTTTGAGTGTCGGGTTAATCTTCTGTAATCTTGTAGGGGGACAATTGCGACTTAAGGGTTACTTCTCAGTGTTTACCGTCGTACTGAAAACATGGAACTCTACCTATAGTACATTGTTTTGAAAGAGCCTTTTCAGCCACCCAAGGGCATTGCCGTTTTGGTGCCTGCCACCTGAGCCTTTTTTTTTTCCTTAACACTCACCATAAGTTAATTCTCCTAACCCTCAAAGAGGGAAGCACCTCAATCAGTTGAAAATGCCAAAGTATGACAGGTGAGCAGCAGGTAAAGAGTGATGAACATTGCTCAGTTTTTAGGGGCAAAATCGAGAGAAACATTTTTATTAGGTTTTCATTTGGCTGCCCTTGCAACAAAAAGCTTTTTAACCTTACCGTGATCTTGTGTTAAACAATGAAGCTATTTGTAGTTGACCCAGTGAAGTATACGTGATTGCATAGAGCTGGAACCATTGGAACGGGAAGGTCAAAATCCTGTGTAATTCACCTCACTAGCCATTGTAAGAAAATGTAGCACCCACTGGTGGATTCTGTGACCTTTTGCTACAGCAATTACTGATTATGTGCAGATACCTGGACCTCGAGACTGGTGACCTTGGAGATGTCAGCAAGGATACACGATGATTTCTTCACTGCGGGGCTGTGCAGTTTAGTGGCATGGATCTAGTGTCTCACCTCTGAGATATCCATGGCGTGTGAACAGTGCCAAGGCTGGTGGGGCCAGAAGTTTATTGGAAGGCTTTGTCATGCCATGGTGATGAACATTCATGACAGGCCCATCTGCCGAACCAGCTACTCAATAGAGGCAAGCCTGCTACGTCACTGGGACATGGATGCAGTGCAGTAGTCAGCGTGTGGCACTGAGTACTCCTGGGGACCAGGCCAGGAGGTGGACGTGCAACATTTATATTTTGCGTATATTTAGTCAACCAGTTTTACTGTTGACATTTAAGTGGGACGTTCTGTTCGTGTGGCAAAAGATATGCCGGGTGTGTGGTGGGGTCCCACAAAAAATAGCTATGCTCTGTCTTGAGCAATGTTCATAGAGACATGGCAAGTTGTGTCAGTGATGGTCACAGTTTGGGACATGTTTTGGATGGCTGTGTGATTAGGTGCTGTGACCTTTGGTGGACAACTGTTGTATTGAGTCACTGCGGCAGTGTTTTCACTAGCTTGGGAGGCAGCATGGTAATGCATCAACACAGTGACAGATTTTACTTGAAACTAAAAATGGGGCACAAGAATAAAACAACTTGCTGCCTCATCGAGGCACGCCTTCAAATATGAACTAATATGTTGTCTTTTCAGTCCACCTTTTCCATTTTGTTTCATTGAAACCTTGCAGTGAGAGGGACTGAGAGAATACAGTCATGTCTTGTCATTATGAATGCCTCCGTTCCCCAGAAAGTGTCCATAATGAATCAAGATCAGAGACAATTGTTGTTTATGAACTGCAGAAAACAAACACCGTTTGTCTAGCCAAAACACTTCAGATACAAGTGTAAATTAGCACTTTCGAGCCTTTTTGTGTCCAGAAGGCAGAACACGTCAGGCTGGCTTTTGCCTTGCTCATCCATTTGTCAGATTCTTCTAAAATTTCGTGCACCGTCGATTTAGCGACATCAATGCCAAGGTCCTTCTGGCTCTGCACTCCCGTATATTGCAAAAGTTCTGAGGATGTCTCGCTCTTGAATTTGCACCCTTTTTTTTAACAGCAGAGCTCTTAAGGGCTAGTTTCCCTAGTATCTTGTCCATCAGCAAACAAATGGTGACAGCTACCACCATCTATGAGCGACGGCGGCAACCAGCCAACCAGTTTGCCAATCGTCTGGTTGCCACCATCGCTCATAGATGGCGCAACCTTTCTACCTTGCCGACTTGCGGCCGGCCATTACTTCATTCCCACCATAGTACAGCTCCACTGGTCTTCCTTCTACACCAAAATGGAAAGGCGGAAAAAAAACTTTCCACCTTTCCATTTCCGCCTATGGTGGGAGTGAAGTAATGGCGGAAAGCTTTTTTTCTTTTTTTAGAATGCAGGTCTCAGGCGCCCGTTTCCGAATTGGTCGACGTCACCATAACCGCGCGTTGCATTATGGGACGTTTCCCTTCATAACGTCATGAGGGTAAAATTTTCTTGCTAAATTTATTGGGGAAATTTTTGCTTAATTTAGCTGGAAATCTAGCAAACATTTCCCGCTAAATGGGAGAGGAGGAGCATACCCTCCCCTCCTCCTCCTCAAGAGCTGCGCTCGAATTCAGCATTACAGAAAATTGTAAACATTCTTTGTTTTTTTTAGTAGCACGAAACATTTTGTTTACTTTTTTTTTTACAATTGCCAGGGTCTCCAACCGCTTCAGCCTCTCGCCTGCCGTTGTCTTGTTTGTGTTGTAACCGACTAGGGAAGCATCTGGCCTTGCCGTTTCTGCAGTCGGGGTACAAAGGATAGGTAAATATGATTCCTCACGCATGTACTTCATGACCTAAGGCAACAGAAACAAAGGTGCAAACACCTATTTGGCATAAAGTCTTCAATAACCCCACCACCTTTAAGGGCACAGGTCCTATCTCAAGACTGGCAAGCAACAACCAGTCTTGGACTGCGACCGTCTTGGGTTCAGTTATACTCTTTCTTGCATTATGGGACCTATTTTTGAGAATGTATAGAAAATAACAATACAAAAACATGTATTTTCCCAGTTTGTCTCCAAAGCTCTAAAAATACTCTTAAATCGGAATCCCTTCTAGTCGATTTGATATATTGCTCATACTTACGAGTATATTGGCAGCAATGTGAACGCTGCACTGTTAGCACCACACCCGAGCAAAGGCCTCGCCCTGCTACATTTCAATGGAATCGGGAATTTGTGCCAATGCTGTGCCAAAAGTCCTTTCCCAAAGGTCCTGCCCTGCTACAGTGCCGGATCATCCTTGTAGACTTGTGCAAAGTTAGGAAAGCGTAGATTATCATTTTAGGTGACGTACCACTCACTTCGACATTTGTATCAAACACTGGCACTGTTTCAAAGCTTTGCAATATTTTTAATTGTTTGATTTATTTCTCAGGGGCTAGTTAGCTTAGTGGAGTGTACTTCTCACCGAGCACCGTGTACAAGTGCCACTCGCAGGGGACACGCATTCTTGTGAATTGTGCTTTGTCCTCCTTCAGAGCGGGGTAGTGTGGGTAGGCAAACTACCAGAATAGTTTTCTTCAAATGCTTCATCAGCTTGAACAAGTAGCTGACACCAGTTGAGAATGAGCTAAAAGGTTGTGAGGGTATACTTTGTAAAATGGCAGGATGGCGGCTTCCGTGATATACAGAGCCACTCCCCATATGACAGCGTAACATGCAGTTGTCACACCCACCATATGTGCCTTCACACTGTAGTGTTTGCGCATCGCTGGACGCATCCAGCTTCACCGCTTTGCATTGGTACGCTCGAGAGAAGCTTTGCTGGTTTGCCCACTACCATAGCCTCCTCTATACTCAAAAAGCCTGGCAGTTCGACAACAGAGCCATAGAGTGTATGGTCGCAGATTTAGAGAGCGAGGATCTGGTAGCAGAGAACAATTCTCGGAGTAACGAGTAATTAAGGTAATCAGTTACTAATATTCGTAACGAAATTACAATACAAATTACTGCCGTAAAAAGTAATATGGCAATTAAAAAATTACTGGAAAAAGTAACGAATAACAAGTAATCTGTTACTTGTAACGGATTACTTCCCAAGTCTGGTGTCAGCTCTCATGTCAGGTGGCGGCGTGCTGTGCGGTGAAGAGGCGTTACGAAACAATGCCATGTTGCGATGTGCGACGCGGAAGCTCAACTTCAATATTTTTTAACGCTTGAGAAATAAATAATTTTCATTAATCTTTCAGAAATTAAAGCCAGTAGACTTCTTTTTTTAAAGTCCTTATTTTCTGTATCTCTACTTGGACGACCTACAAGTAGAATAAACGGCTATTAAGGTAGCAATTAAATGAATTTTTTTTCTCCAAAAATTTAGAAATTATTTTATTATGTATTTTGTGGTAATACTTAAAACATTTTTCATTCGTAATACTTTTACGGGGCTTTTAATAGAGGAAGTTATAATTGCCAGGGGCAAAGCAATAATTACACTAGAAACTGAGAAATGTGACAATTTTTGCTTGCTTTATCAAATTTTTTTTTATATTTTAACAATAAAAATTACATAATCATCACAACATAGCATGCTCAATGGCGTTCAAATCACATAAAATAAATTGTCAACCGTTTCCAGTATAATCTGATATTTACTGAGTTATTGAATAATGCCTAGTTTTATGCCCATTTCAAAAGTTAAAATCACGCTCACGCCATAAGTTTTTTTCGGCGAAATTATTTTAGGAAAAGGTTAAAGGGACATTTCGGGATCTATTTCACGCAGCGGATAACGCGGGCCTTTTCACACCTCGATACTGGCGCCATCTAGAAGTTGCGCGTTCAACCACGTTTCGAGCCGCGCGCCATCTGGTGGCTGAAACGGACGAATAAATAGAGGTACCGCGCCCTCTTAAAGTAAAAAGTCACGATTTTTATTTTTGGAAATGATTGAGCGCAATGTCTGGGAGGTTTGACATGCAATGACCCCCGTACAAACCATGTGACTCCGATCGACCAGTTGGAAATGCCCTCAAACCTGAACACCTTATAGTGTTAAAAAAGAAGGGGGTTGGAGCGGAGAAAGAGAGATCGCCTTTGCCCCTGTTTCGACATCACTGCACCCGCCTCAAGAGAGCAGGTCATCGCCGCAGGACGGTCCTGCATGCACTCAGTGTCAATAGAGAATTTTAGTAGATCGTTCCGATACCTCCGATAGCCCCGATAACGATATTATGGATGCGCAAGGGAGGCGGTGGCGGAGTATCGGGATATCGTTATCGGAGTCATGGGAACGATCTACTAAAACTCTCTATTGTCTACGGTCACGCTGCTGCGTTTGGCCAGAGCCGCGCCGCTGACCAATCGCAGCAGACGACACTGCCCCGGTCCTCTAATTGGTCCCGCTGTGTAGCGTAGGGCCGCAGCAGGAAATAGGAGGAACCGTTGAATTTTGACGGGGACGTCGTCACAAGCCTGGGTCCTACTAGTTAGGAAAGTAAAGCGGCCGGAACAAACGCTAGCCGATTTGTGTTGTGCTGTCTTCATTGCTTCCCGCTCTCTAGGGTTTAAAATAATGTATAAGAAAAAAATATTTTTTATAGGGTTACTAAAGTAATTTTTACACTATTTTCGCACTGCACGCGAATGGCATCATGGACGTCGGAATAATATTTAGTTCTTTTTGACGACGCACTTAATACTACGTGGTTAAGAACTGCAGCAAGAAAATATGGCAGAAAAAAAAAAAAAACTTTCACTCTGGTGAACAAGAAAGAGCAGCGGAGTTGTAGAATGTGCCGCCATCTATGAGCGATGGTGGCAACCACACAACAAGCAAGTCGGTTGTCTGGTTGCCACCATCGCTCATAGATGGCGGTAGCTGTCCAGAGGGTTCAGAGCCGTATATTGGGAGAGTTTGGCCAGTGGGTGTGGCGACGAAGGCGCCGGAGAGGAGAAAATTAAATGAAAGGGAGGAGAGCGCCGAAGGAGCGAGAGAGAAAGAGGGAGCAGAGAGGAGACGACCGCCATTTTTGAGCAACGCTGTCGGAGACTGGTCGGAGAAGAGCGCTGCTGAGGCTACGCGTCGTCTGCTACGGGCCGGCTCTTTTTCGCCTGAATAAAAGTTTGTGGCCAAGCGCCGAAAATCTTCATTTATTAGCTTTTTAACCCACCGAGGAATAACAGAATGTCATTTTCTTGCCAGAGCCAGCGATATAAAAGGCAATAATCGAGATTTAGATGCCGATCCCACGCATTCCGCCGGGAGAATGATCGAAGATGGCGGCCCTCCCCACTCAGCTGCGAGCAGCCGGGAGTTCGCGCGCATGCGCTCATACCTCTCGCTCTGCGCCGCGTGCTGATTGGCTCGCTCGGGAGGAGAGCGTTACGGCGGCGAGATCATAGACTGACCAAACTCTCCCCATATACGGCTCTGAGAGGGTTGTGTCGAAATGTTTTTTTTTTTTTTTTTTTTGTCCTCGGACACGAAACTTGGGAAGGCAGCCTTTAACAACTCCACTGTAAAAATAAATAAATATAAAAACAGACCCAGCCCCCTAGTATTTTTTTGGGGCAAGTATTGGTTTTGTGTCAAGAAAAATAAATATCATCTCACTGCTCACGGAAAGTTTATTGAGAGTTCCAGTTACACGCAATCAC